ACAATATGGGTGTCAAACTTGCCACATCACATGACGTGTCGCAACCTATCGCAACTTTTTTCGCACTGCTGGAGCTGGGGTGGGCTGGCAGTTTGACGCCCCTGACCTATAACCATAATTGAGCCCAACATTTCTGTTGCTAAGGGAGACAATTGTTAAGCGAGTTGTGCTCCATTACACAACGTTTTTTTGCCACAGTTGTTGAGCAAATTGCTGCAGTTATTTAGCGAATTGGTGAATCTGGCTTCCCCCACTGACTTTGCTTGTTGGAAGCTAGCTGGGAAGGTCACAAATAATGATCACATGACCCCGGGACAATGCAACCGTCATAAGTGCATGCCAGTTGCCAAGCATCCAAATTTTGATCACTTATGATCGTTGCACCGATGCTGCAACGGTCATAAGTGTGAAAACTAGTCATAAGTCGCTTTTTTTCAGTGGTGTTGTAACTCTGAACAGTCACTAAACGAATGATCGTAAATCTATATAAGACTGTTACCGTCTCAAGATTAATGCCCTCCTATTTCTTAACTAGCAAAAAGCACTAGGACTATCCTGACCTCTTTTTCAAACAATTGCTAAACTATTTTTAAGGCTGTAAGAAGAATCTCTTAATGTTGCTCTTCTGCCTCCAACAGTGGGCAGCTAAATCTTTCCTGAAGCTATCCAGAGATTCACAGTGTCCCCAATGGCAATTTGCCTCCCTCAATTCATTTAGAGCTAGACCGTTAATAGGGGCTCCATTAGTTTAAGACTTATCCGGTCAAGAGTGTTATGACTAGATGCAAATCCATACAGGAGAAAGTTTGAAAGGGTGCAGTCATTTATGTTTCAGCTGGTTGTGTGAATCAAGTTATCACATTAAGAATCTTAATGTTTTCTTATCTGGGCACAGTCTCTTTCGTGATCATAGTAATTATATTCTGTTAACCCTCAAATCTTATTTTCATCTAAGGTGTATTTAAGTCCCTTCCATTTCAGAAAACTGATATTAAAATACAGAGCATCTGATGCAGAGAGGTTCCATGTAGCAATTACATCTAGTAGCAGTTGATAAATGTAGTTCTCTTCCCAAATTTGTTTAGTTTTTTATTTCCTTTAATTAATTTTGCAAACAGCCATATAGAAAACAAGCAGCAATTAGGGGCTAATTAACAGAACAATGTTGTAGCAATAATACTGTTTTAGCATAGCAAAATTTGTATATTTTTTTGTTGTTGTTTAACCCAAGGCGAATGCTGAAGAATCATGCAGCTTGTGTGGGCAAACAATTTATTCATTTCTAATAAAAAGGCTACCTGTCTTTCTTTTACAATTCCGTCTTTCCTCCATAAAATTCAAGATGGTGTTTTTTTTTCCTCACAACCTTCTTGGAGGTAGATTATGACTCATCCATTTATCCCACACTGTGTCAAATTAGGGGCCTGTCCCTCTTAGTGGAAGTGAGTTTCACAAACACTTCCCAAATGCAAACCCCACACTTGTGCAACAGATGCAATGAAACATGCTCGGGTACCATACCTATATCCCAGGTCCCCTATGGAAATGTTAAATACAGGTAGTCCTTGACTTACAACTGTTCATTCAATGACCCTTTGAAGTTACAACAGCACTGAAAAAGAGACATGCCCATTTTTCACACTGCCATTGCAGCATCCCTGATCAAAATTCAGACGCTTGGCAACTGACTCATATTTATGATGGTGGCAGTGTCCTGGGGTCACGTGGCTGCCATTTGTAACCTTCTGACAAGCAAAGTCAAATGGGGAAGCCAGCTTGACTTAACAACCATTATAATGACTTAACCACGGCAGTGATTCTTAACAGTGCCACTTAACTGTGGCAAGGAAGGTCGTAGAATGGAACAAAACTCACTTAATGGCTGCCTTGCTTAGTAGCAGAAATGTTGGGCTCCATTGCAGTCCTAAGTCAAGGACTACCGGTATTAGCAGCAGCAGAACAGAATTTTGAGAGAACACGAGATACTTCTTTCCTAACCATCCCATTATACTGCATTGAAAAAAGTTTGCTTTGCAGAGATGCTGAAAGAAATTTAAGTCTGTGCAATTTACAACATTTGAAGCTTAATTCTCATCGCTTCTACATATCCTAAGAAGTTGGAGATGGACTTGCGGGGGAACTGGATACTTGCTTTCAAACCATAACAACGGCAATTACACCATTGTTGAATAAAGTAAGAAAGGACAAGTTGGGAGCATGTTTTTAACACACACACAAACACACACACACACACAACTTCTAAGCCCCAGAGATGGCTGCAGAAGGCCATCCAAATGAAATAAAAATCTGTAGTCCAGAATTTCTTTTGCATCCCAGCGATAAAAGGAGTTGAATCACCCAGTTTTCTCCACTGTGTCTCCTTGTTGTGTTGCTATTGTTAAGACCACTGAGAAGCGGAATCTCACTGACTTTCTCCAGAGTCACTGAAGTTCTAGATTCATCTTTTTGCCACACTTGGCTAAAAAGCTAGTTTAAGACAAGCAAGCCACCACCACCTTGGGCAGTTTTTGCAATACTTACTTGGCACCAGAGAGCAGCCCCTGGTGGGCACATTGTATTGCCAGCACTCCTGCCTTTGAGGTGTTAAACCCCAGAAAACATAAAGGCTCCCTCCACACAACATACGTCTCCAGGTTTGAATGAATCACGGTTTGCTTAACCCATTTTTCAGGGTTCACATGATTATCCCGAACTGTAAATGCAATAAAACCAGCTGGGTTCGCACCCATCCACTTAAGTGTGGTTGGCTGATTGATGGCTCTGGGTGGGTGTTATTATAACCAATATGACACAATAAGATATATGTTCCTAGCCTGCCTAACCACATTTGCTTTAAGTATGGTTTATTGAATAAACCACAACTGGTTTCAAATAACACCCTGTGCCCTAAATCCTGGTTTACAGACTAAACCCCGAACTCAACTGTGATTAATTCCTGTAGAAATTCTGTCAAAGGCCCCTGCTGCAGATCTGAGCAGATTCATCCTTTGTTTCTCCTTTCTCTCCCACCCCCTTTCCATTTATCACCTCTAGATATTAAGCCTTGGGCTGGGAGCCTTCCTTCCTCACCCCATTAAGGGCCACTTTACACTGTGAGAGGGGCAGAGATCCATTTAATAGCAACCAGGATTAAAAAGAAAGAAAGAAAGATTGTTCCCATCAAAACTGCTGACATTCCACCACTTCGTAAGGTGTCCCCAAAATGGAACTTCATCTACAGTCTTGTCAAAACCCCTCCAGCTTATTTCTAAGCAGCTTTTCCAAGCAGAAAGTGCATTGAACTCACTCCTTAGTAATGCAATTTTTTTTTATTTCGCAATTAAACATTAAGGATAAGGAATCAGCCTTCATTCCACGGACGAGGATAATGATGATGATCATAACGGGCCAAGTGTTTTTCTGATTCTCTGCACACTAGAGGATCTTAGCACTCCGGTCAAAAGGGATTCTCTCTTCCACCAAACACCCTAAGCCAAGACAATTTCTTAAACCATTCATTCATTTGCCTAATTATCCGCCTTCCACAGAATGTCCCCATCCGCTGTCTCTCAGTTCTTTTGCTTTCTCACTTTGATGGGAATCTCTCTTGCCTTCTGCTTATCTTGTAAGCCCTGCAACCCTGGCTGTTCGTACCTCCAGGAGATTTGTTCTCTCCGGTTTTTGACTTCCCTTTAGTGCAGGGTTTCTCAACCTTGCCAACTTTAAGACTTGTGGACTTCAACTCCCAGAATTCTGGGAGTTGAAGTCTACAAGTCTTAAAGTTGCCAAGGTTGAGAACCCCTGCTTTAGTGTCTTTGTAAACCCCATGTTCAGAAGCTCACCTGTTTGACATACCCTCCCTTCACACTTCCCGTGCTTTACGGCTCCCTCCGACTTCCCAAAAGCCCCCCCCCGTGTGCTTCCTACATCCTTCCCCAATCTCAGCTCTTCCCCCCCCCCATACACCAGACTACAGTTTTTATCAACCCCAGCCACATGTGGAAAGCTCCACGCTGTCTTATAGCACCTCTAAAAATATTGACTTGGCACCCACGGGAGGGGGTGGGACAACCCCCCCTTTTCCTTCCATCTTCCAATTTCGGCAGCTGTCGTGTACTTCAATGGACCCCCCCTTCTCCTTCCTTCTCTCTCTTTCAAACTCTTCACCCCCCTCCACACTTTGCTTCTCTTCCCCACCTCCCCCCCCAAAAGAAGCCTTTTCTTTTCCATGTGTGGAAAAAAGGCGAAAGGCAGCCTACGTTTGTATAAATAAATAAATAAATAAATAAATAAATAAATAAATAAATAAAATAAAATACTTCTTTGTCCAAAGTGCTAAGGGAAAAAGAAAAAAAAATGTTTGGCGGTTTGTGGAGCTGGGCAACGCAGCCGGTCCTTTTTCCAAACGGGGAAACTGACCTGACAGATCCACCGACACAATTCAAACCTAACAAAAACGCCCCCTCCGCCAGCCTTATCTGCCAAAAGCTCCCCCCCCAAAAAAAAATTAGGCTCCCCTTCTCTTCTCTCGTATACTCTCCCCCCTTTCTTTTTTCTTCTTCTTCTTCTTCTTCTTCTTCTTCTTCTTCTTCTTCTTCTTCTTCTCCTCCTCCTCCTCCTCCTCCTCCTCCTCCTCCTCCTCCTCCTCCTCCTCCTCCTCCTCCTCCTCCTCCTCCTCCTCCTCCTCCTCCTCCTTCTTTAATTGTTCTTCCACCCTGGAGCGCTAAGCTCGCCTTGCCAAGCCTTTTCTGAAGGAAAAGGCACATCCTGAGAGAGTCCAGCCGGCTTTGGGGCGTGCGCGGTGGGTGAAACAAAGCTCACTTGAGCCAACCCAGAGATGCGCCGAAAGCTGCACGGAGCCTGGCTGTGCACGGGGGGAGAGCAGTCAAAGCTCACCGTTCCTCCCCAAGTTGGAAGTTTGTCTCTCTTTCCTCCTCCCCCCCCCCTTTTCCAAGGCAGGCGAATGCAAACGACCAAGATCCGCGCCCCCCCCCCCTTACCTGAATCGCCTTCAGACTCTGCAGGAATGCATGGCTTCCGTCGCGGCGAAGCAGCCCTTTCCTTCCTCCAGGCGAGCGCCGCGAGGGGTTCAAATACCGCCGGCTCCCAGGCGGAGGGGGATTTAAAAAAAAAAAAAAAAAAAAGGTGGGTGGGTGGGTGGGTGGGGGCGATCGACCCGCTCAGAGGGGGCTGAGCCCCATCAGTTGCATCCCCCTGCAAAGGAGGGGGAGAGGGGCGTATGGGGAGGGGGGGCTGCAGCCAATCCCAGCCAGGAGCTGGGGGAAACAAAGGGGGCACCCGGCGCGGTTCAGCCGGGGGGGAGCGGCAGAGAGGTTGGCAGCCCCCCTCTCCCTGCGCCCTGCTTCTCCATGGGGGGGGGGGAGCCAGACAGGATGCAACCCCTTCCTCCGGCTCTCTCCGACCCTCCCCGCTCGCGCTGCCTTGCCCACCTGCCCGCCCGCTCCTCGGCAGTAAGAAGGAGCGCAACGGCATCGCAAGACAGAAGGGGGTGGGGGTGGGGGGGGAGCGGCGCATGCGCTCGTGGCCTCACCCCTCCTGTAAATCTCGGGGGGAGGGGCGGCTGGCAGAGACAATGATCTCCTATTTCTCACCCCCCCCCTTTTTTTTTTTAATTTTCATCCATGGCGACTTTAATAAAAAGTTTGTGGGGGCATCCGAGGAATGGTTCGATAACTGCATATGCGGGTCAGCTGTGATAAGTTTTAGATTTTTAGATTGGACAGTCATTCGTCTGAAATGGACCAGAAGACCTCCGCTTAAATCTCTTTGAGCAGGACAAGAAGCAACGGATGGAAACTAATCAAGGAGAGAAGCAACCTGGAACTAAGGAGACACTTCCTGACCGTTAGAACAATTAACCAGTGGAACAACCTGCCTCCAGAAGGGGTGAATGCTCCAACACTGGAAGTTTTTAAGAAGAAACTGGACAGCCATTTGTCTGAAATGGTATAGGGTTTCCTGCCTGAGCAGGGGGTTGGACTAGATGACCTCCAAAGTCCCTTCCAACTTTATTATTGTTATTATTATTATTACTATTATTATTATTATGGATCATCGCACAGCCAGCCAGATGTTCAGACTGGATTTGGCATTTTGTCTACCTACCGAGTCCTTACCCAGGACCTGGGATAGGCAGATGTGGATGTTTGATGGTATTACAGATATCATCGCAAGATGGAAGCACTTCATAGTAAGGCCGCCTTTTGCAATTGACTAATGGCGAATTTGTCAATGCCAGTGGTGTTCAAGTGGTGCTCCAGTTGTTTTGGGATTGCACCCTTGCTTGCTTTTGACACAGTCTTTCTATTTCTATTTGTAGGAGCTGCTGCAAGAAGATCGCACAGACTGACTACAAGCAGTGGCATGACAAAGTAGCAACAATGGTGCATTGGAAGATCTGCAAGAAATATCATTTGCCTGTAAGCAAGAACTGGTGGGATCATAAAATAGAGAAAGTCATAGAAAATGATAAAATTAAACTGCTCTGGGACTTCAGAATTCAAACAGACAAGCACCTGCAACATAACACCCCGGACTTAACAATTGTCGATAAGAAAGACAAAAAAGTCTGGATAGTGGATTTGGCAGTGCCTGGAGACAGCAGAATAGACGAGAAAGAACTGGAGAAGATAACAAAATTATTATTATTATTATTATTATTATTATTATTAATCATTGCACAGTCAGCCAGATATTGTTGTTGTTGTTGTTGTTGTTGTTATTATTATTATTATTATTATTATTATTATTATTATTATTATTATTATTATTATCTTTGCAAAGGTCCCTTCCAGTTCTGTTCTGATTGATTGGTAGTTAAAGGGAGGGCAGATAGTTATTGTTAAGGGGAGGAGAGGCAGAGAGAGAATTGCACACCGTGCCTATGTCTTCTTTTCTGGAAGTTTGTTTATTTTTTAACGGCAACTTAAGATTTTCCAGTAGATTTTCCAGTCTTCGTGACTGGAATAAATTAATCCTAAGAAATGACCTACAACCCAGACTCCAGCATTTCTGATAGATAGCTTTCCCCACGTTAGCTGTAAATGCCCTATGAATCTATGGCTACCCTTACTTTGCCTTGAGCCTTTGGGTCAGCCCAGCTCAAGAGTAGATTGCAGACAGAGGTTTTCCCCAGCTGGATTTGAAGAGGCATTTATATATTGGTTAAATATATATATATGCCATCTTTCCCTCAGAGTTTAAGGCAGTTTGCACTGGGATGTCACTTCATTTCGTCTCCATAACAGCAACCATATAAAGCAGGGTGGGCTAGCATAGAGTGACTAGCCCAGGGGTGGGGAACCTTGGCTCTTTTATGACTCATGGACTTCAACTCCCAGAATTCCTGAGCCAGCCATGCTGAGGAGAAAAGGAGAGGCTTCTAAGCTGAGCCATGCTGGCTCAGGAATTCTGGGAGTTGAAGTCCACGAGTCATAAAAGAGCCAAGGTTCCCCACCCCTGGACTAGCCCAAAACCACCCAGTTGGTTTTCATGCCTGATAGTAGATTTGAATCTGGGTCTTCCCAGCAGAGCCCTTCTCCACTACAAATAGTCCACAACTTATGACCACAACTGAGTCCAAAATTTCTGTTACTAAGCAAGACAATTATTGAGTTTTGCCCCACTTTACGACCTTTCTTGCCATAGTTGTTAAGTGAATCACTGCAGTTGTTAAATTATTAAGTGAATCTGCCTTCCCCATTGACTTTGCTTGTCAGAAGGCCGCCAAAGGGGATCACGTGACCCCTGGGGACACAGCGACCATCATAAATATGAGCCAGTTGCCAAGCATCCAAATTTTTACCACATGACCACAGGGAAGCTGCGATGATTGCAAGTGTGAAAAATGATCATCAGTCACTTTTTCACTGCCGTTAAAACGTCTGATGGTCACTAAATGAATGAATGGTTGTAAGTCAAGGACTACCTGTATATCAACCTGGAGCCAGAGAGGGTTTTGAGGCTTCATCCGATACGCTTGATGTATTTTTCTCCACATTCATAAAATCTAGACATTTAAAACACAATTCAGCTTCATTTCAGATGAATACAAAATTCAGCCTTGCTTAGGTATATGTAATTTTGTTTTTTATGTACTCAGTTTTCAGGAGGTTGAAAGCTGCAACTACTGTAAGGACCTCTATTACCACCCTTTGCAACTGGGGCCCAACTGCTCTGACATAGTTGACTTAGACGAAAGACTGACTGTTTTTAATAGAGATGAAACCCAAATTTCTACAAGGAAGCCCTAAACCTTCTTCTTCGCACTGAAAAACATACAGGAGGACTTTGACAGACTTGTACACTGGGCGCTATCTAACAAAATGAAATTCAATGCTGAAAAAAGTAAAGTTCTACATTTAGGCAAGAAAAACCAAATGTTCAGGTATAGTATAGAGGGTACCTTGCTCAATAGTAAGTAACTACAGGTATAGTATAGGGGGTACCTTGCTCAATAGTAAGTAAGAATCTTGCTCAATAGTAGTAACTGTGAGAGGGATCTCGGAGTCCTAGTGGACAATCACTTAAATATGAGCCAGCAGTGTGCTGCAGCTGCCAAAAAAGCCAACACAGTGCTGGGCTGCATTAACAGAGGAATAGAATCAAGATCAGGTGAAGTATTAATACCATTTTATAATGCCTTGGTAAGGCCACACTTAGAATACTGCATCCAGTTACATCCACGATGTAAAAAAGATGTTGAGACTCTAGAAAGAGTACAGAGAAGATCACAACCTACTACTTGACAAGATAGAAAAATGTGGGGTAGAAAGCACCACCACCAGATGGATCCGTAGCTGGCTGACCAGCCGTACTCAGTGTGTGGTCCTCAATGGAACCGCATCTACGTGGAGGGAAGTGTGTAGTGGGATGCCCCAGGGCTCTGTTCTGGGCCCAGTGCTCTTCAATATCTATATTAACGATTTGGATGAGGGGATAGATGGGGAACTCATCAAATTTGCAGATGACACCAAGCTGGCAGAAATAGCCAATACTCCAGAAGACAGGCTTAAGATACAGAAGGATCTGGACAGACTTGAACACTGGGCGCTATCTAACAAAATGAAATTCAGTGATGAAAAAAGCAAGGTTCTACATTTAGGCAAGAAAAACCAAATGCACAGGTATAGCATAGGGGGTACCTTGCTCAATAGTAGTAACTGTGAGAGGGATCTCGGAGTCCTAATAGACAATCACCTAAATATGAGCCAGCAGTGTGCTGCAGCTGCCAAAAAGGCCAACACAGTGCTAGGCTGCATTAACAGAGGGATAGAATCAAGATCACGTGAAGTGTTAATACCACTTTACAATGCCTGCTATCCTGTCCCCCCTCGTCCTTCTCTTCATTAAACTGGACATACCCAATTCCAGCAACCGTTCCTTATATGCTTTAGCCTCTAGTCCCCTAATGATCTTTGTTGCTCTTCTCTGTACTCTTTCTAGAGTCTCAACATCTTTTTTACATCGTGGTGACCCAAACTGATGCAGTATTCCAAGTGTGGTCTTACCAAGGCATTGTAAAGTGGTAAGTCGAGGATTACCTGTATTCAGCTGTAGTCAACCAATTCCTGAGCCGTCTTGGGGCTGTTTCCGGCCAGCCCTGTGCTAGAACCTGCTTCATCTGGGGTGGGTGGGTGAGGGGGCAACCATCTCCCTCCCCCTCCTGAGCAAAAGACGACCTGATACAGGATTGCACGGGAGGCGGAGGGGGCCTGCATTACCCTTTTTCCTTCCACACATGGGCTCATTCACACAGTATTGTACAGACAGAAGTCTCAATTTGTCTTATCCAGCAAAAAGCTGAGGGGGGTGGGTGGGTGGGTGGGGAAGGGGGGGGAGAAAGAAAGGGATTCATTTTGCTTATCTTTGGCAGCATCTCTAGGAAGGGAGACGTCACCGATTCATTTCCATAGGATGTGCGGGGGGGGGGGAAGGGGCTCTGTATCCTATAGAGGGAAGATTTGGCTTCCTAGCCTATTCTATAACTCCTTTGCATATCAAACTGGGGTCTGTTTCCTGCCCCTTTGTGGCATTGAAAGTCTCGGGGTGGTTATTGTGCTCCCTTGGCATGGATTGGGCTCTGTGCAACCGGA